GACTTGCCCATTTATCAATCTCTTCACCCACTCTTACCCAACCACCCACCCACCCACCCGAACATCTACCCATTCACCCTCCCACCCAAACATCCACCCACCCATACATACATACATACATACATACATACATCTACCCACCCACCCACCCAAATACTCATTTACCCACTCATTTACCCATCTATTCATTCACCTGCCCACCCATTCATTCATCCACCCACCTACCCACTCAATGTGCATTGAAAATCTACTCCATACCAGGTACTACACAAAGTGTTGCAGCTCCAATGGAATAAAAAGGTATGGTTCCTGCTATTAGGAATTTTACAGACCTTCTCCAAGCACAAAGAAAGGTAAGTAGACAAAGTTATTAAAAACAGAGGCGTGAAGATAAACAATGGGGTGTGACTGAGTGTAACAGAAATAATGAGGTGTCAGCAAAGGTCTCAGGTTTTCATTCAACAAGACATGTGAAGACAAGTGAGAAAGACATGGTTCTTGACCAAGCTTATATTTTAGTAAGCGAGTTGAGTAAATAAACATGAGCACAAGAAGAGAATATTATTCTGGATAACTCAGAGTACCAGGAAGGAGGTAAAACAGAACAATAGGAAAGGACGTGGGTGGGGCAGGAAAGATGCTGATTCTTTGGCCAGTCCTCAGAGGCTCCTTAAAGGAGATGGCATTGGATGTGAGAGCCTCCAAGGTCAGAAAGGTGCCTGGGAGCCAGCCCTGGTCAGGGGGCCTGGACATTATTCTTAGAACCATGGGATGCCTCTGGATCTGCCTGGGTACTTTGAGCGGGTAATTCCATATGGTTCTGTGGGGCCCAAAAGACACCTCGGGTTCCCTGGGGAACCAGACACCTTTCGAAGCCAGAGCTACCTATGCTGGCAGGCTTGCAACATCCACAGAGGCTCAGATGGTAAATCCTGCTCTAATTACACTGGTAATTATGAACCGACACTTGCTGAGCTGGAAAGAGCATTCCTCCTGGTAGGAGATGATCGCTGGGAAGCCAGCCCGAGCCACTCAAACAGGGAGGATGCCGTGAATTTACAAACGGCTGATGAAAGGTGAGATGGGGGCAGCGGAACCACCCTGAGAAGTAAGTGAGGAGCCTTAGACGCTGGGAAGGAGACTCGCTGCCGGCTCTCAAGTCAGCATCAGAAGGCACGAACACCATAGTTGGTTGAACCCGCATTTAATCCCTATCCTGCCTCCAGAGAGCTGGGTGGCCTGGGATGGTAATTTTCCTCTCTGGGTGTGAGGCTCCCCACCTGCAAGTGGGTTTACTGATAACCTTTCTTGCGGGAGTCCACTCGGCACACAGAGGGTCTGAAAAATGCCAGACCCTTCCCTCTGGGTTCTCCCGCACTCTTGGTCAGAAGCTCTGGAGGGAGGAGGAAGGAGAGGAGGATAAAAGGAAGGGAACTGCCAACCACAGGGGGTTATTATGCTCCCTGGTGATGCTGCAAGGGAGTTAAAGAACCCGTGATAATAAGATTCTCGCCCTGCATTCCCCGTGACGGAGAACAACAGAGACACAGGAACAGAGCATCCATCAGAACTCACAGAGAGAAGGCAGGCGAAGGCAGGTGATCAAAGGAATAAATCCACTGCAATCTGAAAAACAGCCTGCCTGCTTTCATCCATCTGGGAAGTGATGCAAGGACTCACACTCCGGCCAAGAACACATTTTCTTCTATCCAGACCACCCCGAGTGTGGCCATGGGTGTGGCAGGTTTCCAGAACAGATCCCTCGGGGCTCATCAATCTTCTCCTTGGCCTGGCCATGTCTCCCAGCTCCTCGGCCCCCACTCTGAGCTAGGCTTTGAGAAATATGCCACTGCCAAGGAGATTTATCCATTTTAAAAGGTCAGAGAATTACTGCCACTGAAACGTGTGCACGGAGCAGGTGTAAATATGCCCCAGCTCCCACTCGTGCTTTATCACACTCAGGAGAGGAACCCTGGCGGAAGTTACCTTCCAGGCAGAGCATTTAACTGCTTGGTGCCAGGGATTTCCTGGGGCAAGACCTACCTGCCCTTGCCACCTTTATCACCCTCTTCCCCCTCTCACCTGAGAAGCATCCCATCGCCAGCTTCCTGGGCTGCCTGCAATGCTGGGGACCCAGGGCCTCCCTGTGCAGTTTTGTGCGGCATCCTGCTGCAGGGAGAAGGATGAACAACTACACACACAGAATATGGACCACACCCCAGTTACTGCCAGAGTATTGAGAAGGCAGGGCACAGAGTCAGTTAAAAAACAACCACCTTCACCGTAGATACCAGATCATCTGTCTTGCAATATGCCTCCTCGTGGTTTTACCAGCAGAAGAGAAGAATGGAATGTCTTCCTCCCTGCCCTGTCCCCACATAGGAATTCTCATTTTCTCACAACCAACTTAGAAGTTCTCAGCATCTCAAGATGTTCCAAGGACTATGTGGGTCCAGGAGAGCCCAAACTGTAGTGGGTTTTTTTAAAAATCACCATGTGCGTGTGTGCATGCTCAGTCGCTCCAGTTGTGTCCGACTCTTTGCAACCTCATGGACCATAGCCCATTAGGCTCCTCTGTCTATGGGATTCTCCAGGCAAGAATACTGGAGGGTGTTTGCCATGTCCTCCTCCAGGGGATCTTCCCAATCCAGGGACTGAATCCATGTCTCCTGCAGCTCCTGCATTGAAGGTGGTTTCTTTACCACTGAGCCACTGGGAAAGCCCTCAGATCTCCATGCCTATGTGGAAAATGCCTAAAGGAGTCTGGAGAAACCTGCAGACACAGCTGGGAGAAGCCAGGCTGCAGAGATGCACGGACTTGCGTTCAAATTCTATCTCTGTCACTTACAAGCTGTGTGACTGTAGGCAAATTATTTCACCTCTCTGGGCTTCCAAACCCCACCTCCAGTAGGAAAAGAGGGATGAAGAGATTTAGTCTGCATAGGTGCTGTCTGGATACTGAGACTAATTCAAGTTGATACCCAAAGAATTGTTATTATTTTGTCAAGTTGACTCTGTCAGCCCTGAGAGACAGAGAGAAAGAGATTGAGTACCCAGGTCAAACAACCTATCAACCAATCAAGTGATTGCTTGATCAAGTGACCCAGCAACTGCAGAGTCTCCAAAGTTTAGAGGTCAAGATGCCACATGGACCGAGAGAGACTGGCCAGGAATGACACAACAGTCCCTCAAGGTGACAGGAGCCTGTGTGCCCTCCACTCTTCTTCCAGCCCAGTTTTCCCCGGGGCAGTGCCCAGAACAGGACGTGTTACATGGGGCTCACACCCCCAAATGCAGGACAGATGGTGGTTGGAGACAAGGGCCCAAGAGCCAGCCTGACAGAATTCAAATCCTAGCAAACACCGGAGACCTTGCCAAGACTCTTTTTTCTCTTGTTATGGATGGGAAAGTTCTCCAAGAAGTTAAACAAAGTTGAATACAGTTCTTCGAAAAGTTAAACACAGAATTACCACATGACCATGCAAATCCACTCCTAGGTACATGCCCAAAAGAAATGGAAACAGGTGTCCAAACAAATACTTGTACACACATGTTCAGAGAAGTAATATTTACCACAGCCAAAAGGTAGAAAAAAACCCAGATATCCACCAACAGACAAATGTATAAACAAATGTGGTCCATCTGTGCAATGGAACATTATCCATCCATAAAAGGGGTGAAGGGCTGACATGGCCACCACGTGGATAAATCTCGTAAACAAGATGCTCAGTGGAAGAAATCAGTCAAAGAGGCCATACACGGTTGGTTCCGTTTATATGAAACGTCCAGAAAAGGCAAATCCAGAGAGAGAGAGAAGGCAGATTGGTGGTTACTTAGGGCTTGGGTGGAGGGGGAAAGGGAAATGGGTGTGAATGGGGTCATCTTTTGGGGTGATAAGGCAGAAGGTGAACAACAATATACCCGATGCCACGAAATTATCCACTTTAAAATGGATATTATTATATTATATGGACCTCATATCAATAAATTACTTCCCCCCCAAAAAACCCCACAGTTCCTCATATTCTTCTCCCAGTAACTGGCAGCTGACAGCAGGAGCCTGGGGAACATTGCTTCAAATGATAGTGATGCTGGGAGGTGGGGAGGGGGCGGTGGAGCACAGAGTCCACTCTAATCACTACTCAGACAACAGATTCACTGGTTCAGCCTCACCATGAAGCCTCTTCCACCACTTACAGCATCTCCAGTCCACTCAAGGGCCAGTCACACCCTCTCTCTAATCCCATCAAGGGGGAAATTTACATGAGTAATAAAAAGTTGCCGCCTTGACACTGATCTCAGAGAAAGGAAAAAAAAAACACCTTACATTTGTATTAATTTTCCTTCCCAGGTTTTAACTGAAGAGATGAAACAGCATCACCAGGGAAATAAAACCTGCCTTTGTCTGTCTGAGGGCCATGTGGCTTCATTAGAAATTACATTAGTTCCTCATTAAGCAACAATAATAATGTAGAGTTGGAATCAATAAAAAGAAAATGCTTTGCCCCAAGGTATAGATCCATTTGGTTCAATTATATTCTTACAAGGCCAAGCGCTGGTGGCTCCAATGCTAATAAAAATGTGGCAGGGGTGATGCCAGAAGACAGAGGGAAGGGCAAGATTCCTGACAATTACTCTCACTGTTCCTAAAGAGAATCCACCTAACCACCCACCTAGAGCACATACATCAAGGGCGCATGTACGCTTCATCTCACCAGCCTTCCCTGATCATCAGTAGTAACTATTCTCTGGAAGGGTTGAATTGTGCTGTAGATGATTAGAGATGTCTGCCTTGGGCACGGGTTGGACATCTGCACCTGGTAACAAGGTTTAAAAAATGATAGGCTATGAGCCTGGTGATGCCCACCCTTCTCCTTAGCCATGCCCACTGCATGGCTGGGCTGGGTTTGCACAGTAATAGAAAATAAGAGACGTGTTTACCTCTTTCCTTTCCACCAGACTTAACAGCAATGTTAAGTCAGGACAAAATGAGTACTTACCTGACCCTCGACCAGGCTATATGGCAGGGACGGTAGATCCTGCATAAAAAAAGACAAAGACAAGAGCTGTTGAGTTTTGCATTGAAAAAAACTGCTTTTCCTTTTAGATCCTGCATAAAAAAAGACAAAGACAAGAGCTGTTGAGTTTTGCATTGAAAACAACTGCTTTTCCTTTGTTTTTCTTTTTTAAGATTTTTTGATATGGAACATCTTTAAAGTCTTTACTGAATTTGTCACTGTATTGCTTCTGTTTTATATTTTGGTGTTTTGGCCCCGAGGCATGTGGGGCCATTAGCTCCCTGACCAGGGATTGAACCCTCACCCCTTGCACTGGAAGGCAAAGTCTTAACCCATGGACCACCAGGGAGGTCCCTCCTTTGTTTTTCTCTTAGACAAAATAACTACGTTCCTTGGAAAGAAACATTGGATTGATTCATTCCAAAGACACTGATTTGGTGCCTAACGTGTGCCAGGTGCCATTGTCAGCCCTGTGTTTTTCACACTAAACAAGATGGCAGGTCCCTGCCACCAGGTGAGAGAGAGGGAAAAGGACATAGCAAATAAGGTAATAAATTACCAAAAATGAAGATAATATCAGATAGTGAAGAGTCCAACAATGGCTAAAAAAAATGTGATGGAGAATGACAGGTGCTATTTTATGCTGAGGGTCAGAGAGGTTGAGAGTCAGACGGCAAGAAGGAGCTGGAAGCATCTGGAGCAGGTACTTTCAGTGCAGGAACATTGGGTACAAAGGCCCTGTGGCAGGCAGGAGTGGACACGGGCAGGAAGGCTGGAGTCTCCGGGGACGGTCAGACATCAGAGAAGCAGGCAGGGGCCAGATCACGTCTGGCCTTGAAGGTCAACACATGGAATTTGGTCTTTTTCTAAGCAAGTTCAGAAGCCACCAGAAGACTGTAAGCACATTTTCACAGAAGGAAAAGCCACTCCCTACTTGGGAGCCCCAACGTGTCCCTATGTTGTTGACTGACTCACGTACATGCTCCACTTGTTCTCAGAATGCTGGGCCAGCTCCCAGCACAGGAAGGGTCCCGGCTGGGATGAAAGGGAAAAGGCGAAACGCAAACCCCAGGGCCAGTCTGCCCCCGAGCCCAGGACATCACTGTCCACGCCAAGTAAACCTCTCCCCTCCGCGCTCTCTCTCTGCCCTCGACTTGTGTTTCCACCATATTTCCTATTGGTCGAGATGGTTTCCCACCGAAAAGGAGAGAAGACACCACCTGCTCCCCTTTTCCCCACCTTAAATCCAGATCAAGCCCCCTCATCACATGCCTGTGACCTTCACCAGCACTTCAGATTCATGGAAAAGAAACAAGAGAACCCCTTTCTTGGACTCTGCTGGACAAAAGAAAATGCCCTGGCACTGGCTAGTCCCAATCCCCAGGCTTCAGGCCCAACAAGCTGTGGGGAGCTTAACCAAGCCAGTACCTTAAGGACAAAGAGAGGGGCCGTTCAGCCCAAGGTCTGGGGCACAGCAGAGCTCTCCTCACAGCCACTGAGAAGATAACATTCCACTGTGACCTCCCAGCCACCCCCGCTGAACTCCAGGCTCTCCGCCTACTTCACTGGGTGGAGACATTAAATGAGACACCACACACCCAGTCCACAGAAGGCACTCATCAAGGACCCCAGGATCAAGAGCTGTTATCAGCCTGGACCAGCATTTTTTGCCATAAACATCTTTGCCGCAAGCATTTTCACACAAACATTTTCACTGCAAAGCTAATTGACCATGAGGCGATTTGCTGTAAAAGGTAAAATAACAAAAAAGTAAAGAGGGATGTTAAAAATGAAACAAGAAAAATGAGTAACAAAATTTTAAGACTTTATTATGAAATACAAAATACTTGCACACATGTATAAAATGCATGTAGATATATACACTGGAATATTATTCAGCCATAAAAAAGAACACATAATTTGTACCAACATGGATGGACCTAGGGCTTATCATACTGAGTGATGTAAGTCAGACAGAGAAAGACAAATATCATATGATATCACTTACATATGGGATCTAAAAAAATTGGTACAAATGAACGTATTTACAAAACAGAAATAGAGGCACAGATGTGGAAAACAAGCTTATAGTTACCAAGAGGGAAAGGGGCAGGGAGAGGGATAAATTGGGAGGCTGGACTGAAATATACACGCAATACTACGTACACTATATATAAAATAGATAAAGGGAACTCCATTCAGTACTCTGTAACTACCCATGTGGGAAAAGAATCTGAAAAAGAGTGGATATATGTATAACTGAATCACTTTGCTAATACAGCAGAAACTAACACATCATAAATCAACCATATGCTAAAAAACTAATTGAAAAAAATGAAACAAAATGCATGCAGATTCACAGCAATACTGGACAAACCACTGAGAGTGATCAGGTTCAGACCCCAGGATTTATTGTTATTCAGTTGCTAAGTTTGCTCAAACTCATGTCCATTGAGTCAGTGACACCATGCAACCATCTCATCCTCTGTCATCTCATTCTCTTCCTGCTCTCAATCTTTCCCAGCATCAGGGTCTTTTCCAATGAGTCGGCTCTTTGCACCAGGTGGCCAGAGTATTGGAGCTTCAGCTTCAGCATCAGTACTCCAATGAATATTCAGGGTTTGTCAAAATGAATACCCTTCGGCAGTTGTTAGTTTCTGAGGGTTGGTCATCTCGATTTGCCATGATGCATATTGGAAAAGGTCAGTTTTCATTCCAATCCCAAAGAAAGGCAATGCCAAAGAATGCTCAAACTCTCATCTCACAGGCTAGTAGAGTAATGCTCAAAAATTCTCCAAGCCAGGCTTCAGCAATACGTGAACTGTGAACTTCCAGATGTTCAAGCTGGTTTTAGAAAAGGCAGAGGAACAAGAGATCAAATTGCCAACATCCAGTGGATCATTGAAAAAGCAAGAGAGTTCCAGGAAAACATCTATTTCTGCTTTATTGACTATGCCAAAGCCTTTGACTGTGTGGATCACAATAAACTGTGGAAAATTCTGAAAGAGATGGGAATACCAGACCACTTGACCTACCTCTTGAGAAATCTGTATGCAGGTCAGGAAGCAACAGTTAGAACTGGACATGGAACAACAGACTGGTTCCAAATAGGAAAATGAGTACATCAAGGCTGTATATTGTCACCCTGCTTATTTAACTTAAATACAGAGTACATCATGAGAAACGCTGGGCTGGAAGAAGCACAAGCTGGAATCAAGATTGCCAGGAGAAATATCAATAACCTCAGATATGCAGAGGATACCACCCTTATGGCAGAAAGTGAAGAACTAAAGAGTCTCTTGATGAAAGTGAAGGAGGAGAGTGAAGAAGTTAGCTTAAAGCTCAACATTCAGAAAACTAAGATCATGGCATCTGGTCCCATCACTTCATGGCAAATAGATGGGGAAACAGTGGAAACAGTGTCAGACTTTATTTTTTGGGCTCCAAAATCACTGCAGATGGTGATTGCAGTCAGGAAATTAAAAGACGCTTACTCCTTGGAAGGAAAGTTAAGACCAACCTAGATAGCATATTAAAAAGCAGAGACATTACTTTGCCAACAAAGGTCCACCTAGTCAAGGCTATGGTTTTCCAATGGTCATGTATGGATGTGAGAGTTGGACTGTGAAGAAGGCTGAGCGCCGAAGAATTGATGCTTTTGAACTGAGGTGTTGGAGAAGACTCTTGAGAGTCCCTTGGACTGCAAGGAGATCCAGCCAGTCCATCCTAAAGGAGATCAGTCCTGGCTGTTCATTGGAAGGACTGATACTGAAGCTGAAACTCCAATACTTTGACCACCTCATGCAAAGAGTTGACTCATTGGAAAAGACCATGATGCTGGGAGGGATTGAGGGCAGGAGGAGAATGGGGACGATGGAGGATGAGATGGCTGGATGGCATCACCGACTCGATAGACATGAGTTCGAGTAGACTCTGGGAGTTGGGGATAGACAGGGAGGCCTGGTGTGCTGCGATTCATGGGGTCGCAAAGAGTCGGACACGACTGAGCAACTGAACTGAACTGAACTGAACTGATGCATATTGGAGTGTGTATCCATTCCCTTCTCCAGGGGATCTTCCCAACCTAGGGATTGAACCCAGGTTTCTTGCATTGCAGGAAGATTCTTTACTGGTTACCAGGAAAGCCCAAACGCCAGGATGCATACTTGTAACTAAGCTATGTGTCACTGCTGTTTCTTCTTGGCAGACTGACATGTGTCCACTGGTGAACATTCCAAAGTTCTACTGGAAACATGGGTTTAACTCTGCTCCTTCAAATCACAAAAGGATTTGCAAACTAGTGCTACCATTTTCTAGTATAATATGTGATTTGGCTTTACATTATTTCACACTTTCAGTAAGTTTCATCTAACAAGTATTTTCTATCATGTTGATGTACATATCTGTTACCATTCACTGTTTTAAGACAACCACATCTACTCATCACTATTTAGACCACCATGAGGGCTGAGATTGATGAAAGACAAAACTGGGAGTCCTGCATCAATGGAGAAATGAAACCAACTGTTAACCAGTTATTTTATCCTTTATGGCAAAATTTCCCTACAGCCAGCTAGTTATGGGTGAAAATGTTTGCAGCAAAGGTGCTTACAGCAAAGAAGCTTTAGGACAAAAATACCCAGAACTTGGACTAGTATTTATTATCACTGTTGGTCAAGTTTACACACCGCAGATTAACAATGAACATGGGGGAGGACCAGTCAGCACAGATCATCCACATAAAAAGAAATCTTCGGGGACATGACAGAACTAGAGCTACAGTTTGGAAGCAGGTAACTCATAGAATACATGTTGAGCTATTTCTCCTATCCCCTCCCAAAGACTGTTAGACCAGGCAGGGCTATGGTGTTTTTCTCTCCCATTTGCAAAGTACAAACAAGGCGACTCGTCCTGCCTGCCTGTGTAGAAAGGCACAGACGGGGTAGATCGCCTGCCTTCTCCTCCCCCATCTGCGCCTGGTCCAGGGTGCAGGCTCAGGTGGGTCTCTGACCTCGGCTTAC